TGTGACAGAATGAACTCATCTGTGCTGTTTCTACAAAGATTCTTACTTGAATCTTTGGAGACAGAGAGAGAGAGAGGGAGGGAGGAAGGAAGGATGATAATCCTATTCCCTCTTCCAAGTGACATAATACTCAGAGCAAAAATGGGCTGGACGCACCCTGTAGGTGCTTTTCACTTGGATGAAGGTCGTGGTTGTCCCCTCACCTCGGGGGCTGCTTCAGGGCCTTTGTCAGGCTCGGGCCTCCACACAGGAAAGCTGTTGAGCTCCTTGACTACACCCTGCAAGCTGTCCTCTGGTTGATGACCCTGCCCTGGACGCGCCACGAGCTGACTTACCTGAGCACTGGCCCCGGGGACTTTCCCTGAGTGTGACCCAGTTGGACCTGAAAACTTGACTGCTGTGTGTCGGCCGCAGCAGGTGGGCTCTGGGCGGTGGGAAGGGCCGCCGTGCCCCGAGGTTGGTAGCAGGTGAGTCAGGTGGGGAGGGCCGTCTGTCTGCGGTGTCCTGCGTCTACCCAGGGAAGTCCCTTCCCTGTTCAGTTCTCACTGTTCCCTCCTCGCCACATGGCTCCAGTCTGGACAGGGGACCCTCTGGACAGCCGCCTCCTCGGGCTCCGAGTTCCGCTCCTTCTGCAGAGGACCCCAGGACAAAGAGCCCCGGCCTGAAGCAGCCCCTTCAAGCTCCTGGCCCAGCTCCTCACTGTGTCACCATTATCATCATCACCACCACCATCATCGTCACAGCGGCAAGAGTGTACGTGTATGCGGTCCTCACTATGGGCCAAGTTGGCTGTTGGCCATTATAAAGGTGTTACTTGGGAAGGTCCCATTTAATAGTCAACATCTGTGAAGGGGGCACTGTTACTACTCCTGTTTCCCAGGTGAGGACACTCCGGCCCCGAGGGGTCCCAGGCTGGTGCTGAGGGGCGAGGCTGTGACCACGACCACAGGGACCAAGCTCTGAACCTCACACACACACACCGTGCTACCTACTGCGCTACACTGGCAGGGACCGTGCTGCTCTCTGTCCCCCTGCCTCGCGGGGCCGAGACCTCCCTCCCTCACTCATATCCTGACGCAGGACTGAGACGACGGCCTGTGACTCCAGCAGACTGGCGAGACACAGGGTAGCCAAGTGGGGGCTCCATGGGACAGCAAGCCGCCTCTTGTTAGGGACGGCGGCCCCAGGGCAGGAAGGGGAGCAAGGAGTCAGAAGTGCCAGGGATGTGGGCCAGCCCTGGAGGCACTCGGCTCAAGTTCTTGCTTCCAGTTTCTGTTTCCCCCGGGGAGTCACCCCGGCACCTGCCCCCTTCCAGCAGGTAGAATTCCACCGCGCACAGGGACCGGCTCCTTCCTCGGGTAACGTCTCTCAAGGAACCGCGGTGAACCTGGTGTGTCCTCTGCACATTCACCACACCAGAGGCGGGTGGGGGCTCATCAGCTGTGTTTTGTTTGGGCCTTGTGCCCTGAATGGGCGAGGTTGGCTCTTGCTCTTTGCTGATTGAACACAGTTTGTCGGGAGGATGGGGTCTCTGAGACTGCAAGGTGCAAGAGCAGCACGTGGGCCAGACCTGCTTGCTACTCCCATAATTATTCAGCAATTACAGGGCTGTTCTGGTTACTTATTGCTGTGTTTCAAAACACCCTAAAGCTTGGTGGTTTAAAACAGTAATTATTTCTCTCTCTCTCTCTCACGGTTTCCGTGGGCCGGGCATTTGGGAAGGACTCCGTTGGTCTCTGCTCCATGCAGTGCCAGCTGGGAGGCCTGACCGGGCTGGAGGATCCGCCTCCAAGGGGACTCCTTCCCAGGGCCAGTGTGGCAGGGCCAGCTGCAGGTCAGGAGCACAGCCAGGGCCGGGCCTCAGTTCCTCTCTGCGTGGGCCTCTCCGTGGGCAGTGTGGGCTTCCGCACAGAATAGGAGTTAAGTGCAAAGAGCAAGCGTCCTGCGAGAGAATGAGTGGACGCCGCCACTGGCTCACAGCCTGGGTCTGGACACAGTGGACAGACATGGCAGGACTGCTCTCGTTCACGGAGTCTCGGAGCCCAGCCTCAAAGCGGGGACGTATGGGTTTCCCTTCTTGGAGACACTGGGGTCAAAGAACTGGGGGGAAGACGCTGGGAAAATGGACAGTTGCTCCACGTAGAACGAAGGCGAGCTCACAGCTTCTTCACTGTCTGTGTCTGTAAGATACTCAGAAACACAGACTCAGGTGGCCAGGTCCAACCTGCGGGGTGTGAGGGGCTGGCCAGCCTGTAAGCTCGGGCGGAGCGCCTGCTGGGTGCCGTCACCGTGCTGGGGACGCAGGCGTGGGGGCCTGAGTGAGGAGGGTCCCGCCTGTAAGCACCACACTCGGACACAGCAGGCAGCGAGTAGACACACGGGGAGGGGCCTGCACTCTACAGCCCTGAATGTCAAGGTTCAGAGCAAGGATTTCGGGCCAGGACAGATGTCACTCTCTGACTTGGAGAGATCATTTAGACACTAAGCCTCAGTTTCCCCATTAGCAAGGTGGGGAGACTGATGGTGCTTACCTCATACTGTTGATATTAAAACCATATCATTTAAATATATTTCTGTAGGCCTGGTAGCAGGCAGAATCAGTGTTCTAGAGAGTCCACCGAGAGCTGGAAGGTTCTGGAAGACTTCATGATGGAAGCCTTCCTTCCTGTAGCCATCTCAGGGTCTTCAATAGGGTGCCCTGCCCGCCACCCATGGGCGCCTTTGGCAAGGACAACTTCCAGGCCTCCCCTGAAACCTGCCCGCAGGTCTGGACACCGCGGACTGCCCGCTCCTCCTCCACCCGGCCGCGTCTGGGTCTTCCGGGGCGGCCGTGTCCTCCCGACCCTTCCTCTCTGCCCCGCCCCCGCCCCAGCTCTGGCCTCTGCCCGTCTTCCCCACCCTTCCCTGGAGGGCTCTCTCTTTCCCTCTGCCGTTTATGCTTGTGACCCCAAGTCCGTCTCCAGTCCACTCTCCGGGACTCAGTAGCCACATGTCTAGCTGTTCTTTATTTATTCTTTCAGAAAATCTTTTTTTTTGTCTCTTTTTAAAAAGTATATGTTATTGTTTAGGCTATTACAGTCGTCCCAATTTTTTCCCGTTTGCTCCCCTTCACCCAGCACCCCCTCAACCCCTCGGGCAACCCCCTCGTGTGTGTCAGCAAATCTTCACGGGGGGGCCGTTCGGTGTGGGAGCCGGGCACGGTCTCCGCCCTGCGGGGCGTGCACACCCGCCGGGGGCTGTCACACCGTTGAGCACTTAACTATGATCGTGACAAAGGCCACTAAGGAGAGGACATGTCCACCCAGGAGGCTGACCAAATTCCTCTCCGTGGTCAGGAGAGGCTTGAAGAATTCGGGTCCGAGGCGAGGGGGCGGAGGGCTGAGTCAGGACGCAGTGGGCAAGCGGAGGTGTCGGTGGTGGGCTGCAGGAGGGGCCGGGGGACAGCAACATGGAATGCAGCTGGGGGTGGGGAGCGCTCGTTAGAGAGGGGGACACAACTGCAAGCTTGAGAAGGCTGCTCCTCGTCATGCTTCTAAAGGAGGAGGCACGGATGGCTTGTTGTTCCAGAACTATCCTTTTAGGGTGTTTGCATAGCAGGCAGCTTTGGAAGCTGGAGACAGGGTCTCCCCAGTGGAGGATAGGCGTGTTTGTGGTCCAGTGTCATAATGGTCATACGTGTAACCACATCGGGGCGAAGGTTGGGCGGGTTTGCTCAAAGCCCGTGGTAGGAGGCTGGGGTTTCCTAAGCTCAGGGTTCCCCTGCACGCGCAGTATCACCTGGGCACGGCCCCAGGCTCCTGCCTTGGACTTGGCGTTGAGGTAGACTGATCTGACCGGGAGGCGCAAGCTGCCTGCTGTGCCTTGAGTAGTCAAGTCCTTTGTCTCGGGCCCGGGAGTCTCGTGTCTCCTGCCAGCATCCAGGAAACCACGGCAGGCCACCTTGTCAGAAAGAAAAGGTAAAGTCTCTGAGCCCTCAGTTCATGACAACGGTCCCACTTACTGCCTTTCAGTAGAGCCGCTGAGACACCCCCCATGTCCCATCCTTGCCAAACACCTGCCTCTCATGCCAGGCTCCCCTTAACGTCCTCTAGAGCAGAGAGAATTCACCCCAGACTCCCCGCATGGTCCTCCACAGCCCTGGAGCCCGGCGCCTACCTCCCTACCCTCACCCCTGCTCCAGCTCAGGCGGTCACTACCCCTGAGGTAGCATCCAGGAAACCATGGCAGGCCCACGGCCACTCTCTTGCAGCTTTGCTCTTGCTGAGCTGTGCCCTCTGCAAGGGGCACCCTCCTCTCCTTCCACCTTCTGAGGCCAGGACCCTGTCTCCCCTCCTCCATGAGGTCTTCCTAGAGCCCAGTCTCCCCTCACTGTCCCCCACTCTCCTCATCTTCTAGAGTCTTCTGTCCTTCTGCTGTGTCTTGTGGCTGCTGGGCAGACCCCACTCTGCCTCTCCCGGAGGTCTCCCACCATGGTCTCCATGCTCTCGACCCCTGGAGCACGTGCCTTCCGCAGGAGCCCACTAGACGAGGGACACGTTGAGGAGGTGAATTGCACAGCGATTGGTCCCGCCGGAGGTGGGATGGAAGGGCCCTGGAGCAGGAAAGGCATTCCAGGAGAGAAGAGGGGGGAAAAAAAGGCAGGAAGGTGCAAGTTGCCAGGGCAGGGGGAGCAAGCACTTCGGGTGCCACGGAGATCACGAAGGTGGACGGAAAGGGCTGGGACTGAAAAGGTGAAGAAACGAGGCCCAGGACTCAGGGGGGCCTTGGCCATTGAGGTCTAATTCCCCTCTGAGGGCTGAAGCCCAGGCGACTCCTCTCCAGGGTCTCGGCTCCTTGGCGAGGAGCCTCAAGAGGCTGGTGCTCTGGGCAGCCCCTGTCCCTCCTCCTGCCCGCCCCCCGCCCCTCCGCCTGCGTCGGCTATCAGAGCCTCGCTTGCGGCCCCAAAGCCTCGCATTGACGCGGGCCCGCGCGTGAGTCAAGCCTGCGTCACGGCGCCCCGCCGCCAGGGTGGCCTTTCGGAAAGCGAGGGAACAGTGCGCGCTGCGCTCCGCCCAGCTTCGTTCCGCTCCGCAGAGCCCGGCGTGACCAGGCTCCGACTTCTGCAACCCCACGCGCTCCCTCTGCCGCTGCACCTGGGTTCCCGGACCGCTCCCCGGAGCACTGAGCGAGCCGCGGGAGGGAGCTGGGCCGGGACCAGCGGCGAGGGAGGGAGCGAGAAGCGAGCAGAGTCGCGGACGCGCGGCTCCGGGTGCCCTCCCAGCCCCGGCCCCTGCCCGTCGCCGCCAGACTCCAGCTGACTGTGGGAGGGGCCGTGCGCCCGCCACCCGTCGGGGACCGCAGGTGCTCCCGGGAGTGCAGGGGTCCAGTCCGTGCGACGGCCCACGCGGGACAGGTGAGTCGTGGGCCGCGCCCTGCCTGGCTTTGCCAGGTCAGCCACCGCAACTTTAGCTGTTCCGGCCCCGCCCCAGCCAGGAAGGCCTAAGAACCCGGGTGCAAGGCGGCACTGCTCTTGTATCCGCCCGGCTCTGCGCGGGCCCTGGCCCCTCCCGCCTCTCCTGCCTCCGTTGCCTGGCGACGGAGCCCGGGGGCTGCGCTCCTCCGGCGTTTCCGGGGTGCCTAGCGCCGTGCTCACGAGTTGGACACCTGACGCCAGCTTCCGGGGCCCTGATGGGCCCAAGAACTCCGGAGGAAATGGGGCAGACTTGCAGAGACAAGCGCCCGGGGGTAGCCGGGAGGAGGCCCCGCGGGTCTCGCATCCTGGAGCTGCGCGCCCAGGGCGCAGTTCCTGCGGGGAGGCATCGGCGCGGCTGGAGACCCCAGCCGAGCGGCTAGGCTTCAGGCCCGTGACCTTGACAGTATCATTGGCAGGAGGAGCAGAGCGCTCACGCCCGAGATGAATATTTAATCCCCCGTTCTGGGGCTGGTCCTCGCTGGATTCGGAGCTAGCGGGAAGCCTATCCTCCCTCGAGGGAGGCGCATCTGGGAGCGGAATGGCGGAGACGGGGAACGTGCGCGGGGTACAGGTCTGGAGGGGGCGCCGCCTCGGGAGAGAGGCCTCTGCCACGTTTATACCTGCGCGCAGGGGGCTCGGCTCTCTAGCGACGCTCGCAATGCTCCAGGGGCGCTGCCGCCGGAAGGAAGCTCGGTGTTTCCTTTTAAAGCCCGAACAGCTCTCTGGGGCCGCGAGTGTCAGAAATCCGAGGTCACTCCGCTTAGAGGAGAACCCAGTCTCTGTCGAGAGGTATTAAAAAAAAAAAACAAAACAATTTGACCCCCCTCCTCTTTCCTTTGGTAAATATTATAACGAGTTCTTTGGATTAGGGACTTTCTAACCGGAGCTATATTTGGGGCCATTCTGCTGTGAGCACGAGGCAGGTGGGGTTGGGGAGATCTTTTGAGGGCACTGGCCCTTGTGAACAGGAACTTCTAGAAACTAAGAAGATCCTGTAATGGCTCAAAAAAAAAATCAATCAAAACTTTAGTTAGGTCCTGTGCAGGCTGTGCAGGACGCACTGATGGACATCCGTCTGTCTGGAGAACACGGTCAGAGTGTGCGGAGGTTAGCCACGGGGGCTTCCCGTGTCTCCGGCCGTGCTTACATTATCGGTGATCTGGTGAGGTGGGCCCAGCGCTGGGCAAGAAGGCTTTGAGGTCCCACCTGGTTGTCCTTGGCTGTAGCCCCTCCACGGGGACGGTCAGAGGCTCCAGCCTCTCTGCTGGCTTTTTCTCAAATGCAGCAGCTGTGGCTAAGTAGGTGGTGAGTGTCAGTGAATCCCTGGCCTGGAGGTGACTCAGTGCAGGAGGCAAATCGTGCCGCCCGCCCCGCTCGGAGGGAGCTGGCTTGGCCTGAGTCACACACGGAATTGCCTCCGCTGCTTGTGAGCTGAATGGAGTTCAGTGCCAGGACTCGGGAGTGGGGATGGCCGGCAATGGGGGCCCCTGACGCCAACGTCGGGGGTGGGCAGGTCCTCAGGGGGAGCTAAGCGGAGCTCAGGCTGCCTGGATCCTGGGCAAGGGTCCTCGGGCGCTGAACCCTGGGAAGGGCAAGCGGGTCCAGGTTGGGGGTGAGGGGGAGGCTTGTGGTTGTGCTCAGACGGACTGGTGCTCTGCTCTGCCACGTGCCAGGAGGGTGACCTTGGGCGAGCCTTTCTACCTCTGGAGCCTGGGCTTCCTCGGTGGAAAACCAAGGATGCCTGAGGTGCCTTTGCCGCAGGCTCATTCTGAGCCCAGTGCGGGCAGGTGGCGGATGTGCCAGACAGGTAGCAGATGCGCCGTTGTTAAATGTGATTTCCCCACCTCTTCCTTCTGGGGCCTTAACCGGAGCGTTCTCTCTCTCCCTGCCCTTGCTCCTTGGTGTGAGGGGGGGTGGAGACGAAAGGAAGTGACAGGCTTCACTCGTGGTTGTTGAGAAGGACTCGGTAGCTCAGCTGCAAACCGACCTACCTCTGACCCTCACTTCTCCCCAGGAGACCCTGAACGGAGAAGCCTGAGGAAGGGCCCGGCGGCGGGGGAGGGGCGGGCAAGGCTTCCTGTTGGGTCTGCGGATGCCCTGGGCCGGCTGCAGTGGCTCCTGCAGAGACCGTGACTCTTGAGGATTGTGCCTGGCTGTGGCCTGGTCCCAGCTTGTGGCACCTGCTGGGAGGACGTCAGGGGCCCTTGCCCTCTGATCTGGTCTTGCCATCCTGCTCCCCACCTGTCCCATCTGTAGTGGAGTCAGAAGCTGCAAGACCGCTGTCGGGGCGGGGTGAGGCTGGCCCTTCCCAAGGGGGAAGGAGTGCGCCCCCTGCCTGCCCTGAGGGATCCCGGGCCCCTGGCTCCCCCCTCTGGAGTGTGTCTGGACTTGGTGCTGCGCTAGGATGTGCTTGCTCAAGAGTGGAGGAGGTAAGGGGATCCCCAGGGCAGCAAGGAGGCCCTGCAGACCCAGGGCACTCTTGTTTGCTCCTGGAAACACGTGCATGTGTTTGCGCACATGGGGGGGTGCTGTGCACCCTGGAAATCAATGCCCTCCCCGTGCGATCTGGCGAACTCCGAGGGTGCTAGGGACAGAGAGGAGAGGAGGCCGAGAAGCAGGCTTCTCTCCCTGGGCACCTTCCCTCCCTCAGGCCCCTTTCCTGTCTGGCTGAGCTGCAGGAGGACGATTCATCACTAATCCCTTTAAAGCCGCTAAGATAAGCAGCCACATACTTTAAAGGGAAGATGAATTTGGGCTTTCCCCCCCCTCCCCAAACCAGGTCTGAGTTATCGCTCGCTCCCAGGCTGGGCTGCTGGAAGTCCTCACCGTCACACATCTGGAGCGCGGGGACAGGACAAAGAAAATTGTCACTCGGCCCCTGCAAAGTGGTCTCACATAGGCCTCCCTCAGCTGGTGTCCCCCCAAGTTCCAAGGGCAAAAGCACAGCCCCACGGGCAGATCTGCATTAGCGCACTCCCCCGTACCGGGACAGAGGCTGTGGGGACATGCCCGCTTCCCCAGCTCGTAGGAGGGCGGGTACCATCCTGGAGTCTAACAGCGCACGCCGCACTCGGCACCCAGCGCTAATATCCAGATTTTCACGGAGGCTTCCGTGCTGTGCTAAGTGCTTTATTCATACACCATCTTGTTTAATCTCCACTCCATCCCAGGAGACAGATGCTGCACTCGGCAGTTTTGAAGATGTGGGACTTGAGGTTCACAGAGGTTAAATAACTTGGTCAAGGTCGCCCAAGAGGCGAGCGGCGCCCTGAGAGTTTGAACTCCGGTCTGTGAGGTTCCAAACTTCGTGCCCTTGACGATGATGTGCTATGTCTCCATCCTAAGTCCTGTACTCACGTTTGCCGGCCCCCAGCACTTACCCACACGAGGTTGTCTAAGCCCGAGGGTCCCGTTCTCAAAGCTCAGGCCCGGAGGAAGGAGGCAGGGAGCCTCCGCCAGTGGGAAGTTGGTACAGAATGAACGGACCTCCACTCGAGAAAGGTTTGGGGAATGCAGTCCGTGGTTCCGCGTGGGCTGGAATCCATCCAGAAGAAGGTTCCAGGCTGTGTCTGGGTGCCTTGTTGTCACGTGTGCATTTCTCTCCCTGACTTCTTGCCGCCCCCGCCCCCACCTCATTCCCTCACAGTTTGCCCGGGGCCGGGGCTGGGGCTGGGGCTGGGGCTGGGGCTGGAACAGGCTGGCTGTGGCCGGGAGGGTTTCTGCATCTGCAGAGTCAGGTGGGAACCCTGGTGTGTCAGGTTTCTCTGCTGGCGAGCACGAGCCAGGACGTGCGCAGCAGGTCCCGCTGAGATCCTGGAGCAGAGCTGCGGACACAGCTCCAGGGGTGTTTACAGCAGCTGCCCGAATGGCGTCAGCTGCCCAGAGGGTCGCTGCTGGGGTCCAGAGCTCCTCCCCCGGAGAGCCCACCCTCCTCGCCTTCAGGGCTCTGCCACTTTGCATCCTAGGCAGTTCTGGGAAACCTGGCGTGTGCTTCTCCCCATCTCTTCTCTCTCTGAGAAATAAATCTCCATGCCCAAGGAACAGGCCCACACCACCCCAGCCTGCCCAGCACCTCCAAGCCACCTCGCTCTGGGCGGGAAGTTCCTGTACCTGCGGGTGGATAGTTGCACCAGAAGCACTAATGTTGCCCCACCCCGCCCCCGAGGACACAAGGGGTTCTTCCCAGACACCCCTGCCCCCCAGGCAGCCATTTTGTGGACATGTGTGTGGAGCCCCTCGATAATCCCACCCCCCACCCCAGCACAAGTCATTTTAAAAATATAAACATTGTGCATCTATGAATAAATCCAGGTATTAAAAAACATAATTAGATATTCAGGGTGCAGGAGACTCGTGAGAACAGAAGCTCAGGCACAAGCTGGATTGCCGGATGACCTTATTCTCGCGTTTGGAACCAGGCACACTCCTTAGGGAATGGCTCTGGGTCAGGTGAGTGCCGGGCAGCCCTGGCTCCCAGTCTGGGAGGTGAGATGCGGGCCTGTTTGCTCTGTGGCCCCTCGGGCAAGCAGAGGGCCCGGGGAAGTCAGGCCCCCGCTCCCCGGCCTGGGGTCACCTCGCCAGCAGCGCCAATCCCACCGAGCCGCCACCCCACCTTCCAGAACCGACTCAGGGCTCCCTGGAAGGTGAGCTGCCTCTCGCTGCAGCCCATCGTTTCTAACTGCTGGTTTAACGAGCATTTCTGCAGGGTTCTGTGCACCGCTAATTTGCCACCTATCCCAGCTGCAAACAGAATTCACTGGTGCACACCCCAAATTCCCACTGGTTGCACCGTCCCTTTAATTACAAGACACCTGGGCTCCTGCGGCTTTAAACCCCACTCCGGGTGGGGAGTGCTGTTTGATAACGCTGCCTTTCAAGAGATGTGAACTCATCTGGTGGAGTGGCTTCCTCAGGTGTTCCCAGGTGAATATGCAGTGAGG